ATTCGGGAACCACTCGGCAGAATTCGGAAATGCAACAGTTGGAACAGCCGCTGCCCTACGACGTAAAATAAAATAAAGAGTCTTTAGTTTAACCTTTAAGCTGCATTAGTATCTATTTACTGTGGATCTTTGATGTTTCCACTGGTGCCAGAACGCAGCCGAAAAAAGTCAAACAAAGAGTTAATTTCCACTTTAATCCCGGTTCTAAAATCAATACAGAAAGCCGGGTTTGATTGGCCGATTGGAGAAATGCCTTTTATGTAAAGATCACCTTAAAATAATTGCTGTTTAATATTGATATAATAAAATCTAATATAAAAAAGTTAAACTGAGCAGAACAATTATTTTCTGCAGGAGGTTTTAAGCTCGGCTAATTTTAGTAGATAAACCGGATTTTCTGGAAAGTTTAGACGCTAAACTGAAAGATGGTTGAAGGTTTAATAATTCCTGGTTTTCACTAATAGATGATTATGTTGCTGATTTGCTCTGATTCTGGGACCTGCTGGTTTTTGAAGCATTCAGACCGATGATCTCCGCTGCTTCGCCTTTGGCAGCTTCTGATTCGGGTTCTAAGTCTGGATCGTCTCCTGACATCGGTCCAAAATGTTCTGATCCTCTGTGACTCTGTGCTGCCATTAGAACAGGAGCGTCCTAGAGACGGGTCCTTGATCCCGTTCTTCCATCACAGCGGTTTTCCTCCACTCATCTGGACCTCTGAGCAGATCACAGGAGCTTCCTGGATTCTCAGACACCCTGAAGCGTTTTTGGTTTCAGCTCCTCGGAGATCTCGTCCAGCTGCTCTTTCAGCTGAAACGCTCTCCTCTTCCTGTGAGGCTGTGTGTGTAAAGCATTCAGGGCTCCACCAGTAACTGTAAGCAGTGCTAAATGCTAATGGCAGCAGGTTAATCTACGGTGGCCTGCAGGGTTTTTAGCTCCTCTGTGCTTCTGATCAGTCTGATGTCTTTATGGCAGAAAGGAAGGATTAACAACGTTCCCTAAACTAGTCTTTCTATCCCACGTGAGTGATGGTAGTGTAGTGGAAAAAAAGTATTCAACTATTTACTCCAAGTTAAATCAACGGAGATCGATGGATTTCACTCCGTCAGCACTTTATTTCTATCTGAGCAGCGTTCGTTCCTCCTTACTTACAACAATGGAAAGTAGTCAGAATCTAAACAAATTACAGACACTTTGGTTAAACAGTAACATGTTATGAATAAACCTTGAGAAAGAATCTGGTTTGTTATGGAAGAAGGTATGTCTTGCCTAAAACCATCCTTCCCTCAGGGGAATTGTGTGGCCTTCAAGGTGAAACAGGCTGATTAAAAACTTTTATAGTGAGTAAATAGCATAAATTAATATATGAAATAAGAGAAACTAAAGTTTCCGACCACAGCAGTTAAGAGTAAAGCTGAAACCATGGATGTCCTTCTCTGCAGGTGGAGGACTACGCCAGCAGGAAGGAGATGAGCACGGAGCAGGTGGAGCGATGGTTGGCTCCCATCCTGGGCTACGAGCCGTAGCTCCTGGTGTCAACAGCGCGCGGTCCTGGTCCGGCTTCAGGCCGTGCTGTTTGACTTTAAACGGGGACCATTCGGAGTGGATCCCGGATGGATCCGGCTCAGGAATCTGCTCGGCTCACAGAGCTTCAGCGCTGGACCATCGTTTTAGGCTGGTCTACATCCAGTTCCTTTTCTAATCTTTTATAATGAACTATTTCCTGTGGATAATCGGAGCAGTGGTCAGCGCCTGGAGTTCCTGGAACATCGTGGAGGAGACTCGGGAACGTCGGTGCAGAATACGCCGCCTGGTGCTACGGGCGCTGCTTCGGCCTCTGGAGTATTTTATGATTTTATTTAACTGACGTGAAACGATTCCTCCCTCAGTGGCCTTTAGTCCGAATTAGAGTGAAACATTAATGAAGCCGTTTGTTTTTCATTTCTGATAGATGCTCAGTATTCTTCTGTTTCCTTTTTAATAATTAAATCTGTAGTTATTTCATATTTTATTGGATTAATATTTAATAGTAATTAAGCTTATTGAGGTAAATAAGGATAAGTTAAAGAATTGCTCTGGAAATGAGGATAAATGGTGCTAGATTAGGTTTTAAAATAACTGTTTGAGTCATTTGTTTTTAGAAATATTAACACTTTTAAAGTCGGTTTAATAGCTGCTGCTCTTTTCTCCTAAACATCTGGGAACATCTGGGAGTAATTCCTCATCTGACACTGTTGCTGCAGCAGTGTTAAACTTTGAGAGTTTTTCTAACAATATTTCTAACTGTTGATTAATGGTTTTTATTTGTTTCACTTTTTCATCTGACAATTAACAAGAATAAATATTTTCTAGATGATCAAATGTTTTGTTTACTGAAGTCTCTGCTAGGAGAGTAAATAATCATTCATTTATCGTCTTTCACTGGAATAAAAGGCTTCATAAAACAATCGAGATCTAAGAAAAATAAAGATAAAATAGCATAAATGCATCATGAAAAAATAAAACATGTTTCTGTCTGATCTGATTTTCCCTGCAGGAAATTTCAACACATTAACACAGTTTATAAAGGAGGACGATTTAAAACATGATGAACAAAGAAATGAAACATCTAGGAACTGATTATGCGGCCAAATCTATGAAAAATTATTTTATGTATTTGGAAAATGATTTTTTTAATAAGAGTATCTGGATTTTCCATGTCCTGCATCAACTGGTCAGATTTAGGAGAACTAAGGAGGAATTTAGATTTAAAAAGTTTAAAAAATGGTACAAAGGTAGAAAAATTAACCCAATATTTTCATTTTAATACGATTCTT